CAATTCAGTTGAGAAGGTCCATTAGTTGAATGTAGTGGGAATGGGAAGCTATTTAAAAGTGAAGATTTCCTTTTTTTTTGGACGGGGGTAGCAGCAGATTGGTTTTCTTCTCCCATTTGCAGTTAGTAACAGTTGTCTGCTGTGAAATGTGACAAACATGTGACGTATGAGTAAGAATTTTCTTTTTAAATTATTTTTAGGTGAGCAACAGTACAACTTCCTAGCATTAGTTCTTTGTTGTTGGTATCTTTTTATTTTGGGTAATAAACCATAGCCTGTTTCAGTGTGTATGCAAAAAAAAAAAAAAAAACACCAAAAAAAACAATAAAGTAAGTAAGAAAAGGAAATTTTTCATTACCTTTTAATTACTATTAAGAATAATTACCATTCCTTCCGAAAATAGGAAAATAAACTGAGAAAACAGTGCAAAACTAGATACAAATTTGGCAAAAATTTTTATTGATTCTTTCATATGTATGCATATATTTTGAAGTAGAGATAATTTGCAGAGTACTTTGTTCTCATGTTTATATATATATAATTCTGTATTTAAAATTATTTTTGAGACGCTTGGTGATCAGTCAAAATGTCATACATATGACATATGCATTTAGTGTAACCAAATAGGAAGTAGAAATCCTCCATGAAATCAAATGTATATATGCGTCTTGGAAGAAATAAGAAAGTTTTCACAAGTAAAATCATGCACTTATTGGAAACTTGAAACGAGCATTAGTATTTATTAAAAATCCTTCAAGAATTTGAAAGTTCATTTTGTGTTAAAATTAATCTCAGGTTCCTAAGGATCTTGTAAATTCTCAACTCATGTCAGTGAAAAACACTAGAATAAACAAATGAGAGATCAAATAAAGGACATACAATTTGTGTATCTTGTTCTTTCTTCCACTTTAGTTCTTGAGACTACCATAGAGGATTTTTCATTCAGTATATCTCTATACCTTTGAAATCACAAAAAAAGGAGGAAAAAAAAAGGAACAAGTAGGAACATGACAGTTTCAAATGTTCAAGTCCTAAAATTTTCCAATTTTTCAAGACTTAAAGACTTTGAATTATTAAAACTATGTCCAAGAATGTTGAGAGATAAGGAAAAAAGTTACTCTTTTTTCATTTGTGTTACCTTAACATGTGGAAATTTTCCTGGCTTAAATAATCAGTATAGATTTATTGTCCTAACTCTGAGAATATTAAGAATTGCAGCCACTTTGCAACCCCTGTAAACGTCAATGACCAAAACTCCTCTGAATGTACAGGTATTACTAATAGGGAATGAAAGGAGAGAAGTAAACTTTGCTGTCTATTCTGTCCTGATTAAACTTGTGCCCTTCTGGTATCCTTAAAATCTTAAAATTTAAAATTAAGATGCTTAAGACAGTATTACATGAATTTGTAGCTCAGTTTAAAATGTAGTTTTTTTCATTATTAAATGGATTTTTTTAATAATTATTCTTGGTTGAGTAACTATCAGTGCACAAAAATAACTTTTCTGAGTTTTTTGAAAAGTGAAATTAAAGAGATTAATCATGCAGTTTGTACTTGGACAGAATTCATTCTACAGTCAATGGCACTTGTGCCTAAATGCAAAATGTGAGAGTATGTCCAAGAGGAGTGTTCTGTGCTCAAAAAGCATTTGTGTTTACATTCTGCCATTAGTCCAAATACAAAGTCTGGCAGTAAATTTCATGACACATGCTGCTCCACTAGCTTGTCTAGAAATAAGCTCTTTTCTGCATAAAATATTTTTACTCTTACAAGTCAGTGTAACAAACAATACAAGGAAAAATATTTTTTCTGAAAATTTGTTGAATTAAAAATGCCATAAATTTACAAATTCTGACATACGCCCTTTAAAATTTGTGCATCCACTGTTTCTATTTTCACTGTTTTCATTATGCCTTATAGAACGCATTTGTAATGTTTAAAATGTTCTATTCCATAAAAAAATATGGCTTTTAATCAAATAAAAATGTAAAGCCAGCTTGCTTTAAAATCCTTCTGGTTTTCATTTTCTTATGATCCATAATCAGGAAATCCATTCATATATGACATATAATTTTTGTGCTTTCAGGTGAATAGCAGAATGAGATGTTCTGCCTATGGTCACATCTAAATTGATAATTGCCCTGGCAGAGTGCAATTTTAAAGTATAGCATGAAAGAAGATTTAATTTGTACATTAGAAGACTTATGCATTTTTTTTGCCTCTGGATGTAAATGAGGCCATTCTCTTTGCTGGATTTATCTGAAGGTGGGAGAACTGCCTTAGATCAGGCCACAGCCCTCTTGAATTAACCGGGTACAGTTAAAAGGACTGGTTTCCATGCAGACTCTTCTTATCTTTTTATCACATGCATGCATTCATCACTGATTTCCAAATGATGGGTTTCTGTATTATTGGTTTAAGGTCCTCAGTCTTACATTCCTGAGTCCTCACTATACCAAAAGAATAAGTTTGGTGACTGGAAAGAGGAACTGTTATTATATGGCTTCAAAATGCTAGAAGGCATAATATGCCTGAACAGCAGAAATCTGGTAGCAAAGAAATTATTGCAGTAGTTCTTTAAAAGAATTTGATGTTTTTAAAATATAAATGTTCAAAAATATAAACTGTTCAAACTATTTCACATCAGTAAAGTTCAGATGAATGTTTCTGAAGAATAAAGCTTTATAGAGAAGCACTCTTTCCCCTAAGCACTATTTCTTAAGAGTATATAATATTAAGTAAATCTTATGTAGGGAATGGGAGTTCTTTCTTGTAATGTGATTTATTCTCTAAACATCACAACTAGAAATATATAGAGTACAGTGGAATCCATTTTGCTATATATTTAAGGTCCTATATTGTAGAACTGAAGAAACCTCAGTGCTGCTTCAAACAGTTCCATTGCCACTCTCTGAGCAAATCCTTGTCATATGACAGATTTCACTGACAGTTTTACATCCTGCTGGTAAAATACCTCCTGACACCAGAGAAACCCTACTATTGCTTCAGTTTCTTCTGTTGCCTCAATTTTCAGTATTCAGTTTGTAAAAGATTAACTTCTTTAAAATGCAGTGTGGTTTCTGGTAGAAAATACTGTTGTATATTCAAAATGCCCCTTCTAATTTCACCACCTGTAGTAACACATAGCATTAATGAGAGCATAATAGATAGCTCATTCGTGTTGAGGACAATTGTTCGTTTCGAGAAAAAAAGTCTACTGGTACAAAATGAAAAGCCTTTGAAAGTACTTTGCTGAATTTGTTTGGAAAGTCTAAAATACATTTCAGAACTCATTTTGTTTTCCTAACTGGATGATATTATTAAGGAAATAAACAACAAGATTAACTATGAAAAATATTTTAGTCCAAAATCTCCAAAGTCATTTTAATACAGAATATTAGTAGTGATCTGAGTGCTCTTAAATTTTCAAAATATTGCAAAGGCTTAGAGATCATGATAATAGAAATTATGATTAAAAACAAGCCAGATCAGACTAGCTACTGAAGGTACCTGACAAGTACAGAATTCAAGCAGTTTTTGATAATTTTCTTGTGCCATAATACTAGTGTTCACAGTTCACAGTCTTCCAAAGCTTGAAGTGGTGTTTTAATATGTAATAGGCTTTCACAAATTTTATTTCCATTGATTTTTTGATTTGGTAAATACAAGTGGCTGATGTGTTTGAGGATTAAAAACTTGAAAATCTTAGTCAAGTTCAGACACACATCATTATCCTGGCCAGAGGAGCACATTGCTGGCATGTACTGTCATTTTTATGCCCACCTTATAGACATTATCAAATTTAGTTCCATAATCTATTTATGTTCTTTAGGGCTATAAACACCATTTCACACTGGGGAGGATGGGGTGAGATACTGTGGTCTTCCCTGACTTTGGGAAAACAAAGGAAATTTGGAGTTCCAGGGTTTCTGACCCAGAGGGCTCTGCCACACTGACTGACTAGTTTATCTTCTCACAAAAATTCTAGGCTGTGTGTTGCAGCTCATGAACAAAAGCTGTGCTCAGAAAAGAAAGTCTTCCATAGCATTTGTTTCTTTGGTATTTACCCAAGGTAAAGGTTTTCTCTTTCCATATTAATTTTCATGCTATTCCCTCTCTATGTCTGTGCAGTTTCTGTACCTCTCCTGAGATTGTGTAAACAGAATTTCAAGGCTACCCTAAAAAGTCACCTTTTCCCTAGATTTTATGTGGGTAAGAGGTGAAATCAGTGAATGAAATAGTGGAATTAATAGGTCATTAACTTTATGGACACATAGTTGTCAATGCAATGAGTTGAGAGAATATCCTTTTCTAAAAAAGATAAAGGAAACATTTGCTTGTCAGAATTGTTCCTGGGGCCTGCATAAGAGAGAAGAAGATGAAAGATATGGTGGTGTTTTCCAATAATGTTATGATGTTGCTCCCATTGATTTTAGTGTTTACAGAACTAGGTCCAAGAAGTGTAGTGAAAAAGAGCCAAAAGAATTTATGAATCCTTCTGGTCCTTCCCCTGCCTTTTGTGGAAATTATAGCCTTGCTATATGCATCCCTTGTTTAAAAGCAAAAAAAAAGTCATGACCTGCAAAGGGCTGAGTCAGAAAAGGCACAATCTTCTGTAGATGTCTAGAAAATATGAAATAGCTTTGACAGTTTTTATGTCCTTAAATTATCTGACTTTCCTGACTCTTGTAAGACATATGTCAGACATTGGCTGCTACAAGGGCACAGTATATTGTGCTATATACCACAGTGCTATAAACAAAATTGTATCATCAAGTTAATTTCAGGACATCACAGAGATGTCAGCTGCCATGAGAGAAAGCATTTGAAGACCAGTTGTTCCACATATAGCACATGTTGTATTTTCCTATAAAGGTACATGACACAGATATCTATCCTGAGTTTTTTATTTCACAGTTTTAGAAGGGCTTAAAAGATACAGTGGACTTCATTGGACTTGTCTCTCCCTTTTTTTTTCCCTCTTGTTTTTACCTTAACAGGAAATGGATATGGAAACCCCCGCAACTCACCAGGTCTGCTGGTCTCACCTGGCAACTTGAACAAGAATATGCAAGCAAAATCTCCACCTCCAATGAATTTGGGAATGAACAACCGTAAACCAGACCTCCGTGTGCTTATTCCACCTGGCAGCAAGAGTAACATGCCATCAGTGGTAATGCATTTTCAAAGCTCTTCTTTTTATCTACTTCAAATAAGAGTCATTTAGGAATGTCAAGGCTGGCTCGGGAAACTACATTCTTGATTGTTTGGTTTTTCTAACTAGGGCTTGACACCAAGCTGAGGATGTAGGCTGAGCCTCTTTGATTGTTTTTGGTTGTTTTTTTGAAGTCTTATTTACTTCCTACTTTTTGTCTGTTGAGTTGCAAAATAGGAACTGTGTCCTAACCGTGCACAGCCTCACCTTCTGCAGTCTCTCTCCCAGCACTTTCCTGAGGCTGTTATAAAAGCTAAATTAAACCCTGAGCATCTCTAACTATTACGTTTTTCTTAAATATTTAGGCACACAGAATCTTAGCAGATGGCGTATTAACAGTAATAAATTGAGCTCTATTGCTGTGAGATCCAAACTTTGTAATGATAAGAGGTAGTAAATAGACAGAGGAAGAGAAAAAGGAATATGAAATTTCTGTTTCTCCTGCCAGGACTAGTATAATTTGGGCAATATACTATGCTAGAAGGCTGAATTGGGAAGGTATTGTGTCCATGTCTTGCACTTACTTTTCAAAAGTTTGTCAGTGTTTCCAAGTAAAGCTGTTTTGAGTGATTTAACATTAAAAGTGAACTTAAATTAAAAATATAGTCATTTAAGTGATGCAGTTTTCTATTTTATAAAAAACATTATTAAAACAACTTCCAAGTTTGCTTCTTCAGCTTGATGCAAAATGAATTAATCATCAAACTAAAACTGCCCATAAATGTGATGCCACCTCCTAAGTCATAAAGTGACAAATAGTCCTACAGGGCAATACTCAAAGTTGATCATGGCAGTGACAAGCTGTCTGCATCAAATTATTTATTCCAAGCCCCTAAAAAATTATATTTTCCAAGGGACTCTGTGAAGGCTTAGGCATACCATGACAATCTGCAAACAATGGGACTGTGGAAGACAAATGAATTCTTGGAGAAAGTCTTGTGCTGAAAACTGGATAGGTTGTTCCTACAATTGAGTCAAACAGTCTATTAGAAGGAGGAGAAAAAAGAGATCTATGAGGTGTATTTTTTCCAAGATACCCTCAGAAGGTGTTTATTTGCTACCACTATGATATTAATATATTCCCTAAGCTAAAACCTGCCTCCTGGTAAATATATATATTTACTAATTTTTAATACTCCTTTCCTATGCAATCAGTCTGAGGATGTTGATCTGCTTCTGGTAAGTGGTAATGATGTTCATCTTAATAACAAAGAAAAAAAACAGTTATTCTTATGATGTAGATAAAATTTTGGTTGAAATAAAATGGAAAATAACTATGTTGTGAACAAAAAAGGTCATGGCAATTTTTTAAATATAGCGATAGATGACCAGATGCACTTGTTGCACATACTCAAGCTAAGCATGCTAGAATTAAGCTTTCTTTTTGGTGATGCATGTAGAGCATGTAAACTTATGTTGTTGAAGATGGCATAGCCTTATGACAGCCACCTTTTTTGGTGGCTCTCTAGCCCTTTTTTCCTGCCATTCACATAATTAGAGTTCTCTAGTTTAATTCTTACAGTGCAACACCTAGTGCCCTGGAGTTAAAGATAAATGTGTAACTGCTGTGTAATCTAACAGCCTTGAAGGGTTTTTTTACTGCACAAAAACGTTGTCAGAGCTCCATCCCCTGGTAAGAGTTCAGAGTTCAGCAGTCTGGGGGTGCACCTCACTTTCAAAACCCAGCAGAACTGGGTTTGGGGGTTTTTCATTGCTTTTTTGGTTTCATTGTTTTTTGTGGTTGGTTTTTTTCTATATGACCAAAAAGGAAAACAATGGGAATCGAGCTCATGTATTTCATTAGTTTTTCACATGATCTGTTCTTCTACCCACAACAAAAGCAATCTTACTAGTTCAGTTACCTAGGAGATACTGATGTAATGGGTTACTATGGTGACAACTGGTCTCTTGAAAGCTTGTAAATTATAGGGTTGGCAGAGTTCATCAAAGCTACATGTTAAATGATTAATTTCTAAGAATTTGTAATAGCCTGTATTTCTCATGCGCAAAACATTCCCAGAAAGCAAATACACTCAACTGACTTAAAACTGGTCAATAATATGTTTATTTTACTTACTTTAAAAGAATCAAAGGATAAATAACTCCCAGTCTGCTCAGTCATTGGCTACTCCAGTGGTTTCCGTAGCAACTCCTACTCTACCAGGGCAAGGGATGGGAGGATACCCATCAGCCATCTCAACAACGTATGGTACTGGTAAGTATTGGTGCAGGATGCAAAGGATGGGGAAGGGAGAAAGGTGCTGATAAGTGTCTATCTCAGTATTAATGAATTAGCTAATGTTCTTTGGGAGAAACTGAAAAATTTATAACTGTTATGCCTTTACGCTACATTTGTTTATTCTCTACCTGTCACTAACTTCAGACGTATCTATTTCAAAGTTAGCTGATTTGCTTGAAGTAAAACTGATTTGGTAGCTTTATTTCATTGGCTTTAATTAAAATAAAATAAAAAAGCCCCCCACAAAAAAAACACAAAAAAAACCCCAGCAACTTTAAAACAGTTAACAGTTTAGTCCTCCTTGGATATAATTTCATGCAGTTGAGTGCACCATGCTAAAGCCATGAGGGTAGCAGAAATAAGCAGCTTCACTATCTCCAACCAGAGTTCAGTAACTCTGTTGGCTATCACAGCTTCCTACCTGGGAGGGTGCAGAAGTGAAGCCTCAAGGCGTCTTTACAGTTCCTGTTGTGTATTGCTGCTGTTCAGAGTGCACACAGTGACATAGATCCAGCACATTTTTAGAACACACATATTGTTCAGAAGCAGACTGCCTGCAGACTTCTGCAAGGAAGACTGTAACCAAAATGTTATCTTTTTCAAGTCTTTCTGACAGTCCTTATGTAGTTATGGTGAATTTACAGGTTAAGAATGCTTTAGATCTGCCAGACCCAGTAAAACGCTGCTAGATTACAGAATAATTATTAGTGCATTATTTGCTCCCAAGTTAATGAGTTGAGGGAAGAGGAAGATTTACTTTTTCTCCTGCAACTTAATGTGATTGGTGTAATTAAAATTAAATGGCTTACAAAGTGACAAGAAAATTACTAAGCTAGTTGTTGTTTAATTGCTTCCTCTTTAATTCTCTCTTAATTATTGTCTTTCTGTTTTCAAATCTAGAATATTCTCTGAGTAGTGCAGATATATCATCTCTCTCTGGTTTTAATACAGCCAGTGCTCTTCATCTCGGTTCTGTGACTGGCTGGCAACAGCAACACCTACATAACATGCCACCATCTGCCCTCAGTCAATTGGGGTAAGCAGTGCTTTCTTTATTTTACTGTTCTACAGTAACTTCAGTCTCCCCAGTAATTCCAAATGTGAAATATGTCAAGGTAACATACCAGAACATATCTACTGTGTATAAAAAGTAGATTTTGCAAAACTGGAACAATGTAATTCATGGAAAGTTTGCTATGGAGTTGCAATGAAATATTTTGCATTCATGGCATTTTCTCAGTAGTGTATTGTTTATGTTTTAGTTTTTATTTCTTTAAATAGATTTTATTTTGCTAATAAAATCAAACACCTATATTGTACAGTTGCCATATTTTTTATTTATGCTTTTAATTTCCAGTTACTGTTGCACAAACATTTACAGTAAGAAAATTTTTTAGATATTTTAATGAAGAAAGATTACATAATTAATTTACCTGAGATTAAGCTTTAACCTTATATAATAATCGTATACTCCCTTCTGCTCAGCTCTGAAATTCAAGTTTCATTTATTTGGAGATGATTTTTATGAGAAAATAGCATGATTAAGCCAAAGAAGTGTAAGCTTACACAACTCACTGTGATGCACCTGTGCTGAGGAGTACGTGTATTCCTGCCCTCTAGTGGCTAATTTTACAATATTTATTCAAGTTTCAGAGAAACACAGTGCTCAATCACCTCAGGATCTTTAGAAGTATGAAAATTCACACAGGGAAATCACCTGAACAAGAAACCTCTTGGCTCATTTAAGTGAACAGGTGTATGATTTTCAAATATTTTGTTATCTACAATTTCTATTGAGTAAGACCATAGGCATGCACTGGTGTGGCACAGTAGCCTAATGTATGGTTAGACATGTTGGAATTTTAAAAGGTTTAGCTATAAAAATAGAAGCTGAAAACAGCAGGAGTGTATTCATGAGGAAAAAAAATGAATCCATATACTTGTGAAAGGAAAACCTTTTTTGTGAAAGAGGTCTTCCACTTATACACTTTCTTTCTTTGAGATTGTTGCCATAGTGTGGAACAATTTAATACTCTAAACACACCTTAAACTTCAAAATTCTCCTTCTACTTTATCTGAACATCTTTTGTAACTTATTTTAATGTCTTTACCATGTTGATAATTTGGGTTTTTAAGGAGAGCTATACAAATGTTTCAAAGGAACAAATTTTTTAAACCTTATTTCTGTATAAATAAGTATATATAGATGCAAATGTCATAAAAACATACGACTGAAATACTTATGCTAGAAAAAAGTCTTAATATCTTTCTCTTATACTTTTCTTTATGAGTTTGCACTACTTCTGGGTCAGCATTCAGACTTACTGTACAACTAAAACCATGAATTCTCAAATAAATTGAAAGTTCACATGTTAGGTATCACTGTATAAACAATTGGTACCATACCAAGGAATGTAATGATGCTATTTGGTTAGAAAAAAAAAAGGTATAAATTAATTCCTAAACTACATGCCTTTTCAGATTTGTCACACATCATGATCTGCTTCTGATTCATATCACAGAATGTCAGTGTAATGTCTGTGGCTGTGGAATACATTCTGAGTTGCTACTCTTATTATTATTACTCTTTCAGTGATTTGTAAGTGAATTCAGCTATGAAAGCTGCTTCAGAGATGGTTCTTGAGAAGTCTTCTATCACTGCAGAAAATCATATTCACTGAGTCCTACATGAAAGAGCATCTGTTTTAACTTTTGAATTACTTGAAAAACTTGAAATTCTGTAGAACATATGCAGTGTATATCAGCCTGATTTAGAATTTGCAAAAAGATTTTTAAAATGAAACAAAATTACAGTCATCTTCACATACTTGAGAAAACACATCCAGAAATGTTTCAACAACATAAATCTCAGTGCTTAGTGGGGTCATATACTGAAAAGTTTTGGCAGTGAGATGCTTGTTGCCAACGTAGGCTATGAAAACCTGTGAGAAAACAGTTAATCAAAGACACACTCGAGGTCTCCTTCAGGTTTTGTTTTTCAACAGAGTCTAAAGGTGAAAATCAGCTCTGCTTGGCAAGATGCAATGACAAGAATGTGATTAATAGTAGAATAAGACAGGATTAGACGCATTATCTTGCTCCAGATAAGTTCTCAGCAATTTCAGTAGCACTGTCAGAACCATCTTGGAGGTAATCTGAGATCTCTGCAACCAAGCTCTTAGTTCTTCAAGTTGACTGTGCAATTAGGAGCCACACTAGTGCTGATGGACTCAAGGGCAAATACATGAGGACGTGGGAGTAGTTCACTTTCCCTGTTAGTGCAGCTTTTGGCCTTCTGCCAAGCCTGGTGAACAGAACAACAATGTAGAGCCTGTTTAGACATGTAGAAGCTGTTTAGACATCACTGGGACATTGAAACAAACCAAACTTTTCAACTTTTTGGTTAAAAAAAAAAAGAATAGCATTTTCATGGTCTTTTAATGCATCTACATCTGGAAAAAATCCATACAAAAATTCTGCTGAAAATCAGTCCTTCCAAAGCTTTGTGATTTGGCCTGAACAGTACATAAAAGTCTCTTACTGCTTATTTAACATGTACGAAAAAGACTACTAGAAGTTAACTGCTGATTACCAGAAGGGAAGTCCTTTCCAAACATCATAATAAATTATCAACATACTTTATGCACAAATCCATAGTGTGGAATATGTTCTCTTGCATCTACATTTCCTAGCCTAAGAGACAATCTTTTTATCTAAAAGTAACATCCACAGGTGAAGTTTTTACTTTCCTAAAATATGAATGCAGGGAGAGAAACAACGTTTGATGTGAAGGTGCTTCAATATAGATAATTATTTATGTAAGAGAAGTTTCTTCAAACTTCTACCTACGTGAATAAAAAGTTGTCCCAATTCATGGATAATGTTGACTTGTTCTGTGACCCTTATATAGAAAGATTATTACTTAGCTACAATTATTTTTTATTAGATGACAACTATAGCTAGACATATTCTCCATTAAACTATTTTTCCTGAAAAATTTGGAAACAAGTACATCATGTTTAATGAATTTGTATCAGTTCTGCCAATTTCCTTGTTTTGAATTAAAACCTTCTGTATTTCAGATTGAGCCTTTTTTTCTTATGCCATTATTACAAGATGTTTTGGTAACTCAGCTTCGTGCTATTTTTTTTAATCCTCTTTAAAAAGTGTAACCTTAACATGTGAGAGCTAAACAAAATGTCTTGACACAGAAATTCATATTCTGCTTTTACATTGATCAGAAAAGCATAAAAAAGGACCTAAATCCCTCTTAGTTTTTCCCAAAAAAAAAAAAAAATAGAGCAGAGGGAAGAAGTTGAATTGTTACTAAGTCAAAAATATCTTCTCCTAGATGCAAATTAGCACATAACCATGAATTTTCAATGGTTCTTTACATGATTTTATTGGGGGAAATTATATTAAGTGAGGCAGTAAGCTCATTTAGGAAGTAAAAGTGGATGAAAAAGAAAAGGTGCATGAGGGTCCCTTCCTTCAATAGACCACTTTCTCACTCTACAAAAATCTACATGGTCAGTATTCATGTCCTCACTCATCACTTACTCAGACCTGCACTTCTACCTGTGCATGCTGAGCTTCAATACCATTTGGAGAATCAGACAGAAGGAGATGTACACAGAGGTGTCATCATCCCAAGCTCATGGCGCTGTCTTGCTCCCCCACTTCTCATACAGCAGAGCTGTGTAGATGTTCTGTGTGGAAACCAGATAGGAAGCAGCATTTCTCCATGTGGCCATCATAATCTGAATAAAAATCAAATTTTAACTACACTGGCCTCAAGAGGGACTGGTGTGCCAAGTTAAGATATTAATTTTCTTCACTGTCTCCATAAAATGAAATGTTTTCATACAATATGCAGAAAAAGGTAATAATGTCTGCATAAGTGGACTGCCCAACACTTATTCAGTGCATGTAATTGTACACAAGCCTTTGAATAATTTTCTTTAGTTTCTCAGTAGGGTTTCTACATCCAATACTTGTTTGTTTACCAGGGAATTTAGTGAAGGTTTGAAATTATTACAATAGGACATGCTTAGGCCCAATCATATAATTTTATGAAGCAACAGTGTAAAATATGCATTGATACATTTAAGTGAAAACAGCTGTTTCTACACCCACGTATACTTATACACGAAATTAAATCATTTTGCAGCAGACAGAATTATCATTTCTTACTGTGCACCTTCCATTCTAAATAGAGGTCAATCCTTTGTTTAGAATATAAGGATTGCACCTAAATACCTATTACTTCACCATTGACAGGTATGTAACAGTACATTTCCCAAGCAGATTTAGCTTAGATGAGCTTCTCATAAAAATGTTTCAGAAATGTTAATGAAGTATTGCAAATTATAATCAAATAAAAATATATTAAATTTCAGAAATACTTTCAGTAGCAAAAGGTTATATTTATAAAGAAAAAGAGGTGTATCAAAATAAGTGCAACAATTCATTTATATTGTTTTAAAGTTCAGAAATTCAGTCTTGACCTATCAAAATGATTTCTTATCCTTTTATAAATGTACTAAAAAAAAAAGGATGTTTCAAAATTCAAATAAACCTGAAGCATTTATAAAACTGCCATTAATTTTTATGCCAGGTTATTATGTAATACCACTGCTGAATCACAAGGAATCTGTAGAAAAGTCTGTAGAGATGCATTCTCATACTCACTTCTGAAGCATTATTAAAAAGGCAACATTCCAGTACAGCAATACCAGCTCTGTATTATGGAAATTCAGTTTATCCATGTAGGTTTGTTCCTTTGGATGCTGTCACACAGTAGAATGCCAGTATGTTCCATGTGAACAAATTTGACTGAATGAGGTTATTTTTGTCTATTTTTATCTTTTTTAATTATCCCAAGCTTTACAAAGTGGCATGTCACTTGCTCAAATCAAACACTTCTAAAATCAATTCTCTAGGCTCTACCATCATTTATTATAGAACTTTCAGGTTTAGCTATAAGCTTGGCATGTAAAATCATATGTAATCTTATCATACTAAACTGACAAACTGTTTACTCAGGTGAAGTCCTAGAACCTCCTAAGCAACACAAAAATAAAATTACTGGAAATGAAAAGAAAAAAAAAAGACAGAAATGTATATTTGATTCTCTTTGGACTGTTTTTAACACATTTGCAGGAAGAGTGGAATATTTCACTATGTTGGAATGGCAAAGTCTTATATTTACAGTTTCTTATATGTGTTAATTTAATATTTATAGAAACAATGCAAAGAAAATATCCTCTTTGAAAAAAGAAAAAGCTTACATTTTTTTTACTGTGAAAGCTATTACTTATGAACTTTGTAACTTAGGAAAGGGCTCATTGCAGATTTGACAAATTTGTCTGTACAGGAAGGAAGGACTGATGAAAAAATTGGAGGTAGAACATGCTGTTTTGTTTTCTAACAAGACCCATTCATTTTTAAACACTACAGCAATTCCTGGTAAAATCAGAGGATATTATTAAATATTGAAGCCATACAGATTTATTTTAAATCTGTCAGAAGAAAAAAAAAAATCATCAAAGTAGTAGTAAATGTTGTTTAAATAATAATCAGCTCTCAGCTGATGACACCCTAGGGAGAGTATTTCAGTAAAGTTAAAAATCTACATTAATTTACCTGTGTCTTCTACATTCTTAGAAATTCCTTCCAAATCCCAATATTACACCTTTTTCATTAAAAATGCCTGCACATCCCTTTAGGTTTAAAATCTTGTGAAGTCAAGTGTTGCCCTTACTGCCTTCCTACCCTGTATAAATAAATACTCATGAATAGAAACCTTGAAATTCTGTTTCTTGGATAAGACACTAACTTCAGCCTAGCAAATGGTCCCTGAAGTGGAACATAATGGGAACTGCATGTTGGAAATTCTGTTTTAATAATGAAAAGTCAGGTTTTGCCAGGAGGTGGTGCTTCTGTACAAAATGTTGTGCAGATGAAAGTAATCTCATTTCTCCCGTAAAGTGTGTTCTCAGTATACACTCTTCTCCCTGCCTGTGTCATCTTTCCTCTGCCACTGCCTGCCCAAAAATGCACAAAAAAGGAAGGAAAAAAAAAAAAAAAAGCTTAGAATACTTACATAGCTTACCTTTGAAAAAGTTTCAGAATAGCAGTCTGTCTGCTAGTAGCATCCTTCAAGCCTGGCTTTCCTCTGGACAAACAGTGTAGTCCTCTGTCATCTTCTACTATTCCTCAGGTTCCTTTTTGTAGTTTATCCAAATGCATTCTGGATTGAATCATGGATTTATGGATTTAAACCCTAAAGTCATATCTAAATCCTTGCCTGCCTATGCTATTTTGTTGATGTCAATGGTAGGACTACTAACTTCAACTTTATTCTGAAAAGCATAAAAATTACCAGACCAGATTTTTTTGTTTCTGTTTTGCATCTGAAGTCACATGTCAAAACAAACCAAAATAAAAATAGTTGTGTGCATTCAAATTAATTGGATTAAACCCAGCAGAAACTCCATGCTTTCTATTTCAGCCAATGCATACGCACACACATTTGTTATACAAAAACCTGAAGGTGGTTCCAACAATGCAAAGGCTTACCTTCCTAAATTTTGATGACACTTGATCTTAAAAAAAGGAGAGATGAGAGACTGAAAGCAAGACCTCTTTCCAAAGTGAGGGCTTGTCCCCCTAAAGCTGACCACATCTGTTGTGGTGCTGTCATCTTCTGGAATTCATGAATTCTGCTCAGACAACAGTGCCCCATGATCTCTGCATGTGCTGATCCTGTGCGAGCCTTTACAGTGGTGTTTCATGTGAGTGTTTGTGCATATCTGGGGGCTCCATGCCTCCTCCATCTGTAACTGAGTTTCCTTTCCTCCTACAGAGCTTGCACTAGCACTCATTTATCTCAGAGTACAAATCTCTCCCTGCCTTCTACTCAAAGCCTCAACATCAAGTCAGAACCTGTTTCTCCTCCTAGAGATCGTACCACCACACCATCGAGATACCAACAGCACACGCGCCATGAGGCGGGGAGATCTCCTGTTGACAGTTTGAGCAGCTGTAGCAGTTCCTATGATGGAAGTGACCGAGAAGATCACCGGAACGAATTCCACTCTCCCATTGGACTCACCAGACCTTCGCCGGACGAAAGGGAAAGCCCCTCTGTCAAGCGCATGCGGCTCTCTGAAGGATGGGCAACATGATAACATTATGACCTATTAGTTGGGATTTTTTTTTCTTGCAGTGTGTGTGTGCTATACCTTAATGGGAGGGGGGAGGGGGGAAGGGTCGATATGCATTATATGTGCCGTGTGTGAAAAAAAAGTCAGGTACTCTGTTTTGTAAAAGTACTTTTAACTTGCCTCAGTGATGCAGTATAAGGATAAACAGAAATGCTGAGATAAGCTTAGCACTTGAATTGTACAACAGAACACTTGTACAAAATAGATTTTAAGGCTAACTTCTTTTCACTGTTGTGCTCCTTGCAAAATGTATGTTACAATAGATAGTGTCATGTTGCAGGTTCAACGTTATTTACATGTAAATAGACAAAACATTTGCCAGAAATGGCAGATCTTTACTGAGAGAGAAAGCAGCTGTTATGCAACATATAGAAAATGTACAGATGTTTTGACAGATCCAGCAGTTGGGTGGCCATGAATTGATGCTAGAAAGAGACTGAGTCACCTAACATACTGAAAATGCTCACAAACATGCAGGCATTTTTTTAGAGTATGGCACTCAGTTTAAAAGGATCAAACCATTTCAAGAGGACCATACTTATGGAAATGTTGAGTTCGAGGGCTGACATATTTAATTTCAAAAATTCTGGGTCTGCCTCACTTAATAAATAAAAGTATAAAAATATGTACATTACATTTTGCTTATTTTCATATTAAAAAGTAAGACAGAGTTTGCAAAGCATTTGTGGCTTTTGTAGTTTCCTTAAGCCAAAATTTGTTCTTTTTTCCTTGATAGCTTTGCTAATCTTTTAAGCAGTCCTGAAGAAACAAACAAAAAGGACTTTCTGTATAGAAAGCACTACCCTAAGCCTTGAGGAACTCCATGCTTTGCTAATTAAGATAACTGTTTTCTCTTTGCAGAAGTTTTGGTTTTGAAATGTGTATTTCTAATTATATAAAATATTAAGAATCTTTTAAAAAAATCGGTGAAATTAACATGCTTGTGTATAGCTTTCTAATATATATAATAATTATGGTAATAGATTTTGTTCTCTTGATAGTGGGGAATTATATTTGTGCAGTTGCACATCTAACTATTTTCTTTCAGTTTTCTTTCAGTGGGTATACATTTTACAGATCAAAATCAGCTGCTGAAAGACTGATCTGTAAACAATTAGACTTTACCCATAGTGTAACAACTTAAATCATTTTAATACAGCATTTTACAATCAGTTGGGTGAACTGCCATCCATTGTATATACTGATTAGTTCTTTCATACTGTTTTTGTGCATTGTAACAAGTTAAGGGCCCTTCTATTATGTAACGTACTGCGTATCTTGTAGTTTTCCATGGGTTAAATGACAAAGTGGGGTAACTTGGCCCTTTCTCATTAATGAAGCTGGTATTCTGCCCGTCTGAATTGGATGTGCAGCTCTAACGGCTGTAAGCTACGTGAGTGCAGGTAAATATATGCTGAAGCAGCAGGGGGAGGCAAAGGGAGGGATCAGCACAAAAGTGCCTTTTGTATAGATTCCTCCCCTCTCTCACAGACATAAAACTCTTCAAGAGATTATCAGTTAAAGGGTGGTTCAAAGTCAGTTGATTTTATACAGGCAATATTGGCCAACTGGTCCTTGGTTCTCATGGACCTATGCAGTCACATCATCTCACAGTGGGCACGTTGTTGAGCAACACTCCCTGTGTGCTTTCTTTCACCAGAGCAGGACTTGCTTCAGCACACAGCATCCACATTTTCTCTAGCCTCATATTGTTCCTTTGACTAAGATAGCTTGACCAGAGGGAATGTGTCGTTTTCTTTAAGTCCCTCTTTGTCCCTCTTGTCTATTAGAAAAAAATGGTATATTCAAGTGTTTCAGTTTAATCATTCTGTTGGAGGGGAAAAGTGTTTAAGCAAAATGTTAGTGCCATAGTAAAAGAGTAATATTTCTCCTTTTTTCAAGGGTCATTCTAGGTCTCAATGACATACATGGACATTATGATGAAAAATACAGCTGCAAAGTAAAATGTCAACACAAAGTACTTTGAAGTGAAATCCACACTCTTTTTCCACCTATACATGCAGTTGCTGTGCACTGCTCAATGATGGAGTGTACCTCTCTGTAGTAGAGAATGATGATCAGACTACAGTGTGCATTAGGACATAGTCTCTTCACTTACCATGACTTTACAGAAGCCTGCCTTACAGGCACTTTCAGCCGTGCAGGGGCTAGTACATAATCTGGAAACTCTTTAAGCAGAATACTGTGCTACTAATGCATCCATCTTACCTCGTGTAGCAAACTGCAGGGTAAACAAAGATACGCATGTTTTAAAAAACCCAAAAAATAAATTTAAAAACTCAAAACAAAACAAAAAAAAAGATAAAATGGGGCCCATAATTAATATTAAAATACAAAAACCACTTTCTTCACCATCAGATTAACCTGTACTCCTATTCTCTTTTGAGAATTTTAAACTTTAGTGTGTCAAAAATATGCAAATGTATCACAAATATACCTTGTCATTTCAAGAAAAAATACAATTTTATTGGTATAGTCGTAGAAATTTCTCAGTGGGGAAGGGGATTTGGTCTATTGATATATTAAGAATAGCCATATTAATAGTTTACCTTGCGATTTGCCTCAGCAACACATGAAAAAAATGAAAGATATAATTTAATGAAGATGCAGTGTATAATATTACTGCAAGTAACTAAGCAGAAAGTAGCATGAAAAGTATTGCCTGGGCAATTTATATTAACTCTGACAGTGATTTTTTTGTATAAATACAAGTAGAACTGAATCACATGAAATAAATGCCAGTCAGCCCTCTTGTTCCTGCTGCAGAAGGCAACTAACTTATACTGGCAAAATTGTGGGGGATAATGCATATTTGCAAACTGATCTAATGATAAGAAGCACAACTTTGATTGTGAAGTCACTTTCTGTAAACTATAACTGTCTACCTTTCTTGTTCCTTAATCTGTATCTTACCATTTATTGTATTTACAAAAGGTAATTTGGGTTTATTGTGTGATTCCTTTGTATTTAAGGAGCTTGGGGCAGAGCCCTGAAAGAGTATTAACATTTACTTTACCTTAACCCATGCTATATGATGTTTTAGGCAACATTCTTAATTGTAATTTCAAACACCTGAAGTGGCATTCTAGGCACCTGCAAGTATTGTTATAGCTAAGCTAATCTCTATTAAAAGATGTTGTCAGTTAGTGTTTAATTGCTGGTGACAATTATATTATATACTCTATCTGCACAACATATATATTGTATGCATTGAGCCATTCACAGTAAAGCTTTGTTCATTTCAGTGTCTCTCAAAAATTGTGTTTTATAACAAAATGGCTTATATTTTTCCCAGAAGAGGAATTTAGCAATTTTTAATGACTAGTGTAAAAATTAGCTGTTGTCCTCAGATCTTTTTCAGGTAAAGTTAGTATAAGAATAGAACTCATAGGCTGTTTTCAAGGACGTCAACCCTTTTGTATTGTATTTGCAATTCTATATGCCCACTTTTATCTGTAGTCTAACAGCTGTTTGTTTTCCCTCTTCCTTCACCTTGAAGGTAAATGCTTTGTAATTTTTTAAAAGCCACTTGAAACCTCAATAAAGGCTGTTGCCTAAACATGGCATACTTCATCTGTTCCTGTTTGTGCCATCTGCTGTGATGTCGTCAGTTATATGGCATTCATTTCCTGCCACTACAGGTCTCTTGAAGGACTGATGGAACACTGGTGTCTGTTAGAACGCTTCAGACTGTAGATGTAATAAAAGGCTTTTGTTAATATATTTTAACCAAAGATGTGGAGCAATCCAAGCTTTGAGCCACAGACTTTCAGCTTCAAAAGTATCCATTTGATTATTTTCATAATCACATGTTGCATTTCTACCTTCCCTTCTCATACCTCAGACTGATCCATACCTCTATTTGATTTTAAAAAAGGTCATTTAAGAAAGTAATTTTTTAAAAAATTAAAAATTAAAAATGCAGTACTAAAGTCTTTTGTGTATTTAATATCAGACCTGGATTACCGCAGGCATTACACTTGGATTGCTTCAGATGGTTTGTTGTATCCTTTTTTTCATTTTTTCTTCTCTTTCATGGGGATTTGCTTCCATAAAATAATGGTGATAACAAAATAGCTTGTAAATGGGAGCATACAAGCATTTGCAACAAATATTAAAGTAGAGGCTCACAGCGGCATAAGCTGGACTTTGTCGCCACTAGATGACAAGATGTTATAACTAAGTTAAACCACATCTGTGTATCTCAAGGGACTTAATTCAGCTGTCTGTAGTGAACAAAAATGGGAAAATTTCAAAAGATTCTCCTGCTGGAAATAAGGTATAATTTGTATTTTGCAGACAAATCAGTAAAGTTACTGGCTTTCTTAGTGATATGGTGTCCGTTGTGCATTTATTTATTAATTTAAATAGTGTTCAATTTTCACTGTTTCACAATGTAACACATGAAAGAATCAGCACTTTAACTACCAGCAGCTGTCCCTTACCGATTATTTGTGCTTGCTTTGCTAAGCAATATTTTCTGGCACACATCAGCCCACCAAGTCAAGGAAACACCATTACTGCTCTAGAGTCAGTGTCATTTGGAGTGAGACCATCTGAATCTGTCCCTAGCAGAGGAGCTAGGTGAAATAATGCCTGGCATTCAGGTGCTTAAACTGACAGGGAATCTAAACTCCCATAATACATGTCCTGTGAATTTTACCCATGGGGACAATCATGCAAAAACCCTCCAAAAAATGCATGTTCTGTGTCAAAATCATATATAATTTGATCTACACTCTGTCTATACTCTACCAAAACTGCACAAGGACTGTGTCAGAATGAATCTATTCATTTTTCTATACTTTTTTTCTCAGAATATTGGTTTGCTTGATTTTTTGTTTGGTGTTTGGTTTTTGTTTGTCTGTTTGTTTATTGGGAGTTACGGGGGTTTTCCAACTAATATTTATAGTTTCAGAGTTTGCGAATAAAAGAATCACTTTATTTCAAAAATATGTGTTTTTATGCCAGAAGCAGACAAGCTACTAAGAAGTTAAGGTGCTTGG